GGGGGCCCCCCGGCTGCTGCCACCTGGTCCCAGCCCTGGCAGCTGGAGGAGCAGCTGCTGCCGCCCAGCCCTGGCCCCAGCCCCCGGAGCAGCTGGACAGTTATTATGTGGCCCTGGCTACAGCCCTGGGGAGTCAGAGACAGCAAAGAGCTGCCCAGCTAAGCCTCCCCCGCCCCGCACCAGTAGCAGCAGCAGCTCACCTTCCATCAGTGCACTGCTGCACAGCTCTGCAAAGGAGGGGGGCAGGTGGAGAATTTTTGGGGAACCATAGTTCCCCCTAAGGCATGCACCTTAGAGGGAACTATGGTCATAACCCTTGGAGTTCACCCCATTCCTTGTACAAAGGACAGTACAAGTTCATAAGATGAATACCTGCCTCCCAGGAAATCAATGGCAATGTTCCCCTTGATGTCAGCAGGAGGTCAGGATTCACCCATATATTTCAAGGCCTCAAGGAATCACTGAGGTCATCTAATTTGACCTTGTGCACAACACAAGCCACTGAGAAAGCCAACCTGTAATCCTTGGTGCAGAAGTAGTTATTCTTCCCTGCTACAAAGCCTACACTATTGAGCTCAACAACTTGTAGTTGGGGCTTATGTGGTGGATTAAATTTATAGTAGCTCTCTGTCCTAGGGAGCGATTCATTTATTGGTAAATACATTTAATATACAGTATATGCATGTAGATGATATGAGTCCGCTGTGGCCAAGTGTTCTTCATAAATACTAGAGAGAAAGAGAACTGAAGATGGAGAAAGGAAGAGATCATTTCTGATTCATCTCTTGTTTCTCTAACCACATATCATCACTGAAGCAAGTGCTAAAATACTAGTATTAGTTTGACACTTAGAACACTAACATTTTCCAAGATAATTTCCTCCTGTAGTTATCAAAAAGGCCCCTCTTTGGACATTCCTAATTATCAGGAACAATGGGTAGCCTACAGTCTAGGCCAGCAGTCCCCAAACTTTTGGTGCTGCCAGGCACCCGGGGGCGGCACTGCGCATGCGCCGTGCACCCAGGGTGGGGGCTGCACATGCACCGGGCACTCAGGGCACAAGAATGGCTCGGGCCGGCCCTGGTCAGTAGGCGCGCACACATAAATGGTCTAGGCAATATATACACAGACTCTCGAACATTCTACAGAGCGGCTCATACTGCAAAATCGTGACCTGGATTGCAAGCACTGCAAGGTTTGAACGTATTTGGAGTGAAGGTTTTAGCTAAGAGGGGTGGGGGTCCATTTGCAAAATTCAGATTGAGATCCTGGTTCAGATTTCAAGTGTTTTCAGTAGTTTGGGGTGTTTGTATGTGGGATTTTAGCTCGAGTCCCTATTCTACTTCCCATTTATAGACTTACCTTAAGAGATGAACCTTTGGGAGTGAAACACTTAAATGGCTTCTTGTCATCTGACAAGCCATCTTCTGGCATCTTCTGACGTTTTTCAGCAGCTTCAGCTCTTCTCCTTTCAATCTCTTCTTTCAGCCTCCTCTTCTCCTCCTAAGACAGTATGAATACATAGTTGGTCATTTGTCTCCTTGTTGACTGACCTTTCCAGCCACAGAGTTCTTCTGTGGGAAAGCAGGGATCTCAGCACACTAAAGGATTGGGCCCTTCCCTACATGATGCTTCTCTATCTGATGATTACCTATTGTGTTCCCTCCTTCTGGGACATCTCGTATTGGTCACAGTCGGCAGACAGGATACCTGGGTGGATGGACCCAGTATGGCCGTGCTTATATTCTTGTAAGTGTGAAGTACTATTCTCTTTAATCCCCAATATCCAAATTCATTTTATTTACCGTTTAGATCCCCAATTTCTGTGCTGGAGACTGGAACATCCACATTAAAGAGATCCATTTAGTAGAGCAAACATACACAAACATATGGATTTTTTGGTACTAAAATTTTAAACTAGACAAACATTTCTTTCTAATGAGATTCAGTCCTTCATCACACCAGCTGTTAATCCCACTCTCAGCAAACATATCTTCAATCCCATTTGTCCCACCCCACCCAGAAACAAGATTTCTGTAAAGTAAGCTATGATGTGCAATAATAATAATAAAAACACACCCAAAATAAACGAACGCCCACGTTGCTGCATCATTGCACCTAATAACATGTCTACACAGAAGATGAGAAAAGCAGAGTTAAGATTCTCAAGACAATCGTGGATGAAATCCTGACCCCACTGGTTTCATCGGAGCTTTTCCACTGGCTTGCATGGGACTAGAATGTCACCCCTTGGGGTGATCTCCTTGTGCATCCGGCTTAGATCAGGGTCTCAGTAGCACATCTGTGCACATGATCCCTGTAATACCAAATATTCTGTACTTAGTTGCAGCTGAGGTTGAAAGTTACAAAAATGGTGTCCTTTTTTTGTCCATTAGTACGTGTCACTGTACAGGCGGGTGATGAAAGACCCAGCTTTGCAGCCTGTGTCAGCCTTAATGAGTAGTAGAGATGAAAAGTTTAGTGCAATGGTGGTACAGCCTGCAAAGGGAGGAATATGACTGAGAAAACTGAACAATCTTTATCTGCTAAGTACTTGTAACATAGCACCTAGAGTTCCCAACTAAAACTGGGGCTGCACTGCACTAGGTACAGCTGTATAGCAACAGACAGTCCCTGCCCTGATGTCACAGCCTAAATAGACGAGACAGACAAAGCACTGGAAAGGAAGCAAGGGCAAAGAGAGATAAATCCACTTGCCCAAGAGTCTGTTTGAGTAGCAGATCCAGGAATAAAGTAGTGTAGCTTTGGGTCTTCCAAGTTGTTTTTGGTTTTATTTTTCCTTCTATACAACATTGCCTTAGATAGTGAAATCCAGAGCCTCAAAGGCATTGTGGCTTCTAAATCCCATTGCTTCCAATGTAAGACAGGAGACTAAATACCTTTGAGGGTCTAGGCCCAAGCTACTCTCCCTGAGCTTAAAATGCCACCCAAAGCCTTTCTCTTTGTGCAGTTCCACTGATGTATCTGTTCACCGCACAGCGTTATGTGATCATGTAATGAAAGACCAACAGGAGCAAGTGACGCAGAACAGGGTCTAACTTTCGGATTTTGCGGTATTAGTATTATGCCATTACCTCTTCCCTAGCTTTTCTCTCAGCCTCCTCCTGCTTCCTCCTCTGTTCCTCTTCCTCAAGGATCTTCCGACGCTCCTCGCGCCGCTTCTTCAGTTCTTCCAGCTCCACAGCTGCTTCCTGTTGTTTCTCCTTTAGCTTTTCAAACTCCTCATTCTCATTTTCACCCCGGCGACGGCGCAGCTCCTCTAGTCGTTTGCCGGCTTCAGCTTGGGACACTGGTTTACCATCCTCAGCATTTGCAGCTGCTTTCATGCTGGAGCGGCTGAAAAAGAATTGAGAAGCATGTTAACATGCCACAAGTTTTCCTTTGCCAGTTTGCATCATTCAATGAAGCAGCAGCATAAGAACCTGCACACAGAAGCACCTCCTGATAAGATCTTTTGTTCCTCACAGAGTATGTGCTACCTTCAGCAGGTTTTGTCAGGGAGCTGAAGTAGCCTGGGGAACTCATGAGAATGGCCATACTAGCTCAAACCAAAGATCCATCTAGCCCAGTATCTTGTCTTCCAACAGTGGCCAATGCCAGGTGACCCAGAGGGAGTGAACAGAACAGATAATCATCAAGTGATCCCTCTCCTGTCATCCATTTCCAGCACTCTAACAGAGGCTAGGAAAACCATTTCTATCTACCCTGGCTAATACCCACTGATGGACCTAACCTCCCTGAATGTATCTAGTTCTTTTTTGAAACCTGCTCAAGTTCTGGTTTTCACAACATCCTCTGGCAAGGAATTGCACAGGTTGACTGTGTGCTGCGTGAAGAAAAACTTCCTTTTGTTTGTTTTAAACCTGCTACCTATTAATTGAATTTGGTGACCCTTAGTTCTTATACTATGGGAACAAGTACATAATTTATCCTTAATTTATCCTTATTCACTTTTTCCACACCAATCATGATTTTATAGATCTCTATCATATCACCCCTTAGTCTCCTCTTTTCCAAGATGAAAAGTCCCGGTCTTTTTAATCTCTCTTCAGATGGGACGTGTTCCAAACCCCTAATCATTTTGTTGCCCTTTTCTGAACCTTCTCCAATGCCAATATGTCTTTTGAGATGAGGCACCCACATCTGTATGCAGAATTCAATATGTGGGCGTACCATGGATTTATATAGAGGCAATAAGATATTTTTTCTTATTCTCTATCTACTATATCCACTGGATCCCTCTTGTCCACATATTTCTTGATCCCCTCCAATAATTCTAGTACATTAGTAAGGCATGATTACCCTTTACAGAAACCATGTTGACTTTTCCCCAGCAAATTATGTTCATTTATGTGTCTGACAATTTTATTCTTTACTATAATAACTAATTTGCCCAGTACTGACGTAAGACTTACTGGTCTAGAATTGCCAAGATCTCCTCTATACCCTCTTTTAAATACTGGCATCATATTAGCTATCTTCCAGGCATTAGGTACGTAAGCTGGATTTACAACCACAGTTAATAGTTCCATAATTTCACATTCGAGTTCATTTAGAACTCTTGGGTGAATGCCATCTGGTCCTGGTCACTTGTTACTGTTAAGTAACTCAGAAGCACATCTCTGCTTCCAGTGAGAGCAGAGGGTCCCATATGCTTGGAAGGATAGTTTTTGCATCATATTGCCTCAGTACCTCAGACAAATAAGTGTTACCCTCTCAGGAGCGGCCCTAGACAAGCTGCTGGCAACTGGCACCCTAGGCGACTGCCTAGGTCGCCTGTATTGACGGGCCACCACTGCACCCTCTTTTTGGAGACAGTCTAACTCATTAACTTCAATTTTTTATGTCTACTTTTTTTTTATTCAAGAACCCTTTTATTTTAGACCCAGCTACATAATATATACACACTTATGCATACATATTTGTACTATGTAATTGAGAATATTACCAACAGAGATATGTTCTAGCTCCTAAAAGCATACTTGACTAATCTGTGCACAATAGTTCAGGTATCCAAAAATAAATATTAAAGGCCAAAAAAAAGTAAACCAGCAAATGCATACCCAAAGCAAACACTATATTCTGTGTTATAAAAGAGACAAATAATCCTTTGATTTCTGAGATAAATGTCTTTTTTAAGGGATTATGTAGTGTTTGACAAATCTCTTTAAGGCACATTGCTAGGGCATTAGTCTTCAGTTTATCAGGAGAAAGGGGAAGTATTCTTATTTAATCCATAGTTTCAAAGCTCAGTTGAAGTTTTCTGTGTGAGTTTTTGATTTTTCATAAACTCAAAACTAGATTTTTCATTGAATTTTTCCACAGAGGGAAATACCAAACCAGATATTTTTCAACCAGGTCTTATAATCAAGGAAATTAAAATATATATATATTCACATTGCCATAAGAAATATGTGTCCAATGGCACCACTACTATAAGTAATTATTACATCAGTGCTTGCTCCTTGCAGTGTATTTATGAATATACCAGTCAAAGGGATCAACACATCATATACCAGCATGTTACTTACAAGAAAAAGGGCAAACAAGCATTTGTATGGCTTTTATTTTCTTCCCTGTTCTGCACCCAAGAAAAGAGAGATTCCAAACACCGCAGCAATGCAGCCACAATATTGCACAATTACATGCCACAAGAGACAGCAGTGTAAAAGTTAAGGTTTCCTTCAGCTATATGGATCAGTTTCTGCCTTCAGTTAACTTTGAGCAAATACACAGTAACTTCACTGAAGACAAGAAACTTATTTTCCAGGTCTGTAATAATATAGTCAAGAGTCGAATTTAGCCTTAAGCAATTTTTTTACTTCAGCATTTGGAAGATGTGGGTGAATATTTTGTCCACACTATGATAAATGTTTGACTTTTTTACTGACAAGAAATGGTTCTCTCTTAATCATGTACATTCAGGGTCTACTTCTATCTTCTTTTCTTAATATACAGTAGGGAGGATTTCCTCTGCTGTTTCTGCATATTCTGTACTGGGAAACACTAACTGGCAGTCATCCTCTTCAGATTTGTTCCTGAGTTGCTTTGCTTTCAGCACATTCTGGAAATCTCAGCCCCTTGCTGACAACATCAAGAAATCAGTATTGAAATCCTACACTATGGGAAGATTTCAGAAGTGCCTGTTGGATGCTACGAAAAAGAAGCCAACTACCAGCCTTTACGTAGACGGAGAAAGAAGATGGTTTGTGAGAGCCAAAAATGACAGAACAATGAGAAAAATGCATTATATGATGCTTAGGATTGTTCCATTCTTCTACAAAAGTGAGGGGAAAGGGTAGGTGGGACTGGTGGGAATGGGACAGACAATATTTATCTAAGCCTCAGATTTCTCAGTTGGTCCTAAGGAGTTTTATTTCTCAGCACTATCATTTAGATTCATCTTAGGAGTCTCAATCACTTGTTGCCATTTTTTGTGGAAAATGAAAATACAGGTAAGTTCTGAACTAAAGCCCAATGACTAGATACCCAACTTCTCCCTCTCTCAGGTTAGGGAGGGGGAAGAAAAGAAAAAATGTGGACTTTCAAATAATTCCTTGCTTTAGGAAGAAATAAAGCAAGTGAAGTTATCTCTATATTTCCAACTGTAATAGAAGCTCTCATATAGACGTTCTATACTACACAGTGAAAAGTATTGTAATAGAGACCCATAAAAGGAAACAAGCCCCACAGCTGTCCTCTGCTATAAACAAATGCAGTGTTAATGTGAATCTTACCTAAAAGTATTCTCAGTATGTTTAAGTTTGTGAGTAGTAAGTTCCTGGAAACGCTCTCCGTTCTGTGGCTTTGGTTCAGGAAATCCCTTCTTACGATCCCAGACAGACTTCACCTCCTCCTTAGGTGCTTTGTCCTTATTAGCCTTGTCATCTTTGATCTGCTCAGGAGACATTAGAAAACATACAACCACAAACAAAACAAAAATCATAATTAGACATTGTAGATGACTGAGAAGGAAAATAAGTTTCCTATAGTCAATGGGGAACTGAGCAACTGTCTTTAAACTGTCCTAAGGCAGAAATAGCCTGCCAAGTTCTAAAATGTGGCCTACGACCAACTTTGCCTTCCAATCTATGTTAAATATGAGGCAACTGAATTCATCTACACTGTGTGGAAATATTCTGTGTCCTTGGAAATCTCATGGCTCCTTACCTTCTTATGCAATCTAGCCAATCTCCACCCTTACCTTGCCCCACTATCCCCTTCCTGCTCATGCATCTGTTTTTTTACCTATGGTATACTGTCTCAATATTAAAATGTGAGTATTCTGGGCCATGGATTATCTTTGTTTGTATAAGGACTAAATCAATGGGATCCTAATCCCTGGTTAAGGCCATAAACAGTACTGCAGTACAAATAATAATAATAATAATCTTAAATTGAATACATTAAAGTAAGCGTGTGCTATGTGGATGTAGCCAGTACACTGAACAATGAACCAGGTATGTGCTATCAGGAGGTACCCAGGACTTTCAGTGTCACAGCTATTATTAGTATTAGGAATGTTAAAAAGTAGGTAATTGGGTAACCGTGTAACCACTGAAAATTTCAAGCAGTTACACGCACCTGCAGCCAGCTCCCTGGGAGCCAGTGCATGTCAGGAGTTGGCTTTTAAGATGGCTCCTGGCGCATACTGACTCCCGGCTGCCACCCCACTCCTGGGGAGCCAGCTGCCACCATGTGTTGCAGACTTATACAGAGGCAGAATTTGTGTTGATAAATGTGTAAGCAGGGTTATCATCGGCGGTATCCCAGTCTAAACAGTGACCAGTGGAGGAGGATACCATAAAAGGTGAAGTACTTAATCCTATAAAGAAGCAGATGTTTCCTCTGAAAACATTAAGGCAAGAATGTGTCCCCCACCACCCTCCTACAAGCCTTTGCCCTACATAAGTCTGACTAACATTGAGAATCATTATGTACTAGTTCCACTCTCTAATCCCCACCCAGAAAATTCTGTGCTGAAAATTATTTATTATCACCACTGATGGCCTGATTCCAGCATGCTGAGTCATGGTTGGATGCTGATGGAAAGTTCAGGATATGGCAATTGATTTTAGTTCTTCTGTTCTGTGGACAGAATTATTCCCACTAAGTAAATTAGCTAGACCAGCAGCCAAAACAAGCTTTGAATAGCAGCAGAGGAAAATACCAAATGTTAACCCAAGGAAGATCTTTTTTTCATGTTGAGCTTTGCTACATTTCAGAAAGGACTACCCAGCCTGAACTAGACCTGTTCTGCTTATAGCTGGCATTAAGTGCTGTTCATTCAATGCCAGTACCACAGGTGACAGCTGTCAAGTGGTATGAACTGCAAGTTGGGGGGGGGGACGGTATTCATATATATGTTGAATTAATATGCTACAGATGAAAGATGACAGATATGCAACTCCAAGAGCATGGCTACACTAGGAGATTATTTTGAAATAAGTAAAATCAAAGTAACAATTTCACGATATAACGATTTTAAAATAAGCATTATTCCCCAAGGAAAACAGGAGTACAGATTTCAAAATAACCAGCCCAGGATAGCATGGATGCTCCGCATATTATTTTGAAGTAAGGGGAGGGAGGTATTTTGAAATAACTCTCTAGTGTAGACCAGGGCTAAGATAAAACTCCTCTGTCTTTAGAATAAGCAACAGCAATGCAAGCTTCCCCCACCCTGCCAATGAGCCTAAACGTATGTCTATGCTGAAAAAAAAAAAGGAATTTCTTAATGTGAGTTAGCTAACCTAGGTTAAAATAGCAATGAAGATGCAGCCACTCATCTTTTCATCTGTGAAAGCAGCTCAACTTCAACTCCAGGCTTCGCTATAGGCTTTAACTTCAGATGCTGACCTGAGTTAAAAGTGGAGTGGCCATGTCTTTGCTGTTAACTTGGGTTAACAGCTTGAGTTTGAGCCTATAGGGCAGACTGGGGTTAATTCGATAATGCAAGTTAAAAACACACCGTTTTATGCAGTATGGACATACCCTCAGTTATAACCAAATGGAATCACTTTACAGATAAGAAGAGAATTCAGTTTCCATAACAATACACGCTTTGGCCTCGATGTTATGACTACCAACAGCCAAGGCTATTATTGCTAGTGGCCAGTCATGGCTTTGAAGATGTGTACTCCTATATTCTAGAAACTAATCTGAGACAATCATTTCCTCAGCCTAATGAGCCATCCCCAGTTTGTAACAGTGTTTGGTCCCTCCCAAGCTGGGCAAGATTTGAACCAGTGATGTAATAATAGCAAAAAGCTCTGGCTCATTAGCAATCCACTACATTACTTAATCCTTTTCCGAGTCATTTTGAGAGCGAGGGTGTTGATCGCGTTAGGATTTCCAATGCCAGGACTTCTGTGTTGCGATTTTGAAAGGGCTGAATTTCCTTTTATGAGATTTTGATCAAGTCCCTTCCAGGTCTCACTAAAAAGACAACATGTCAGCTGCCTCAAGTGCAGGCAACTAGATGGGACATGTACTGCATCTTATACCTTAATTAGGATGGTGAAGAAAACCAATATTAAAAACACGCTTTTAGAATTAACTAAGGTTAGGGGATAATTTTCCAAAGGCTACCAGGGTTTGATTTAAATGATTTAAAGGGGGCACGGGGCACAAACACACAAATAACACCACTACTAGGCACTATCACTCACAAAAAGGAAGATGAAATAGGTTATTAGAGAAATACTTCAAGGTCTAGTCCTGCTCCTTTTAATTTTAATGGCAAAACAACCACTGACTTCAAGAGAAGCAGAAAGAGCCCCTTTCCTAGCCATGCACCCTAAAAGTGACAGAAGCAAACTTTTGTGCCTGCTGCCGCATTTCATTGATTTGGGGAATAATCCATCTGATACGGAAATGAATGGAAAGGCGCCTACTGACACCAGGGGAGTTGGTTCCAACCTGTGGTAGTGCCTTCAAAAAATACAGCCCATCTCATCCCACAGAGCTTGAACCCAAAATCAAATTGAACATGGCTGAAACTTTTTCTGAGGACTGTAAATTCTTTGGGTAACTTCTTTTTAAAATATTTTGTTTTTGCACATCTCTCCATCTCCAGGTTCCTGTTAGGAATGCACATTAGAGCTTGAGAGGCAACATTGCCACCCCAAAGTTTTGGTTCTGTCAGTTATAAATATTGGAGCCTTTTGCAAACTTCAGTTCTAGATTTGGCTTCAATTTTTGAACACCCTGCAAGCTGTGGGCATCTCCAGCTATGTCTGTGTGGCAGCTGGGTGCATGAGTCCCAGCTTGGATACACAGGCACACAGACTCTGCTCAAGCTAGTGTACTAAAAATAGCAGGGTAGCACAGGCTGCAGCTCAGGCTAGCCACCTGAGTAGGCCCCTCAGTATGTTCCCAAGCTCCTGCCTGTACTACCACTGGCTATGATCCTATTTCTAGTGCACTAGCTCAAGAAGAACTTGTGTGTGTCTGTCTACCCAAACTGGAAAGTGCACTCCAAAGATTTAGGTTTGGGGCCCAACTCTATCAAAACAAAGATACCTACATACCATGAGAAAAAGCTGCTTTTGCACATGTCTAGCCAAACTGGAAGCAGGAAATACCAGGAGTCTTGTGTCATGAGAAAAACTTGTTCTGATGAACTTTCCAGGCCAGTTTTGCAGACCCAAACTTTGGGACAATTCAAAGAAGCAGCCAGACTTTTGGCTGCTAAGTTGAGTGAAACCTATACTGTGAAGAGCAGATTCTGATCTTACTAACAGTGGATGTACACAATATAGCACAGGTACTTTGGCATAAATCTGATTTAACTGTGAGGAAAAGTATGCCCCCCGAACTAGTCAGGCTTACAGTCTCTTAACTATATTAATAATTGCATACTGTATTACAACACAGGCTTTGTTGAATTTTCAGCATCACTGTCAAGGCAGGAAAGTAGTGAAAGGCTGCTCATCTTCATTTTTTTGCAATAGTGACAATTCATCCTAAGCCAAAAATCAACAGCCAATATTTTAGGTTCACCAATTGCTATTTGTCAGGATGGGCAGGAATGGTGTTCCTAGCTTTTCTTTGCAAGACGCTGGGAATGGGTGACAGAGGAGGGATCACGTGGTCTGGGAATGGGTGACAGAGGAGGGATCAGGTGGTGATTCCCTGTTCTGTTCTCTCCCTCTGGGGCACCTGGGACTGGCCATTGTCGGAAGACAGGATACTGGGCTAGATGAACCTTTGGTTTGAACCAATAGGGCTGTTCTTCCTTCTTATGATTTTGGGGTTCAATTCAAGACACCTTTTGGGAAGAGGGTGCTAAGTACTTTCCAAAAATGAGGTCCTTTAAAGGGTGTCTCAGGTAGAACACCCAAAAACTGAGGAAAGCAAAATCTCTCATCCCTTCTGAGATTCTTGGCCATTGTCTGTGTTTCTTCTTGCAGCCTAAGCTCATGGAGGCCCTCTTAGATCCTGAGCATCCTCAGTTCCCACTGACTTCCATGAGAACTGAGGGCACTCAGCGCTGTTCAGGACCAAAATCTAGCCAGGCCGAGTAAAGCTGAAATTACAGGTCATACTTATCCAGATACCTTTTCAAAGTATCTCTAATGTGATCTGACTTTGTGTGCTGGTAAATTCCACAGGCTGATTCCTTCTTGTGAAGGAATGTTTTGCTTTTATTTGCTTTCCATCCATTCTTTGGCCTTGAGACTGTGGCCACCAGCAGCCAAGCCTATTATTGCTAATGGCAAGAGTAGTGACTTTGAAGATGTGGACTCCTAACTTCTAGGAACTAGTCTGAAACAATTATTTCTGTTCATTTAGTCTAATGATGTGTCATCAGTTTGTCATGTCTTTTGATCGCTCCCGGTCTTGCCCTCATTTAGCTGAATAACTCTTTGCTCGGTTTTTTGTATTGGGAGGCAATCTGTTCCGTTTTTAATTTAACCGTCACGATTGTATCTCCAGCAAGAGTCCTTCAACTGTTCTCCTTTGCTGGCTAACTTAGCCTAGTTTTACCAATCCTGCCTCCTATGAATTACAAACATTCTTCTAACTTCTTCATTGCCCTGTGTGGTTCTTTTGAATCTCACCCATGTCCATCTTCAAATGAGGGACCCAAAACCAGACACTGCGCTCCAGAAAAGTCTGTAGCATCTTTTGCTATTAGTCCTGAGGATGGACTATTCAATTGTAATACACTGAGTTCCAGTAGCTGCCTTCCTACACCCCAAGATGTTGGGCCATATCTTCAGCAGGTTCAAATTTGCAACATCAATGGGGCTGCATTCATTTATAGTAGGAGAAGATCTAGCCTCAGGTTCTCCAGGCAGGTCATCCCTCCTTTACTAAATATTCAGCCAGCAGAGCCATGGCTTACTTTATTCCACCTGGATGTACTCAATCCCAAAGGGGCACAATCCTAAGAGGCCCTGAGCACCATCAGCTTTTTTTAAAGTCAATGGAGGTTGAGGAACTTAGCACCTTGCAGGATTGTACCAGAAGGGGTTCACTGCACAAATGCTCAGCACCGCTCCCTGACTGCCAATTACCAGTCTGAGGCTATAAAGGGTTCCCAATCTTATTTACTTACCATACAGTAAAACACCATGGCACCAGCTCCTGTGTTTACAGTAGAAATGCAATGCAGTAAATTTTGCAGAATTTCTCTTTAAAACAAAAAAAGAATCTTGGGTCTGCAAGGTTTATATAATTAAGCACTGGATTATTTGGGGGAAGAGATATCATTAGTTAGATCAGGTAAGTGGCCAAAGGGACCTGGAGATATCCATGATTATTACGAAAGTAGATCTCAGTCACAAGAGGAAAGTTCATCATAGTAAAGTGGAGAAAACCAGGGAAGGATGATTAGTTTGTATAATCCTGAGAAATTCTTCTTCAGGGCCCAAATCTTGCTTGCATCACTTATGTGACTGAGTCCCCACTGAAGTCATAGGAGCACTCATTTTAAGTAAGACAAACAGCATTTGGTCTCAAGGCCCCCACTTACAAGTTAATTAACCATATACTTAACACTGAGCACATGACTAGTCCCATCCCTATTGATGTCAATGAGACTACCCACCTGCTTAATGTGAAGATTGTGCTAGAGTGTTTTGCTGGTCCAGGCCTTTACGCTAACGGCCCCTGCTGAATTTGTTTCAATCCCTGCACATTTCCTTATAGCATCCATGTTTGTAGCTCATAATTACCTGCGGTTTTGTGAAGGTAGGTCGAAGTTTCTCATCTGGTAACTTTTCCTTTTTAGCTTCCACTTTAACCTCTTTCTCTTCCCCCTTTTTATTTTTAAGATGAAAATGTCATTCTGCAACAAGCCCTGTCCACTCACATTTGTCAAAGCTGTGCTCACATACCCATCTGGTGCTGCCGTGCCCACATCTGCTCCGTGTGCAGCTGTGCTTGCTCTTCCCCTCACAAGGGACAGTGATCCCATACCCCCTCTGGACTTTTGCGCTTACTTCTCCCTTGTGCGCCAGTGTGTTCACATATCCCAGCAGAGAGCGCCCCCAGCTTTGCTTGCTTCAAACAACATACATTTTTAGTCAGCATTCTTCACACACCATTTCCCAGGTGCCCACATATCTCCTGTGACGAACTGTGCTTTGTCATCCCTCGGGCATTACTGCACTAGGCTGGCTTAAAGCAACAGAAAAAGGCAGCGGTAAATTGTGTAGAGATCTTGGCATGCAAGGTTTTCCTTTGCGGGATCTCAGAGCCAGGGTGGGAGAGCTTAAGTGTGCCATGCACTGCATTATTGATAAGTAGAAGCAAGAAGCTTTAGTAAAAAGGAAATCAAATATTGATGGAACAGAGAGTTAGTAGTTTAAACATAGGGACACAATTGTGAGTAAATTCCAATCCAATTTTTGTCTTGCATTACATTTCTCACATATCACAGGCTTCATTATTTTGGTGCAAAATGTTTACTGTACCTGTTTTCTTAGGGAGATTGCTTGAGGTTTTTCCTGTTGTACCTTCTTCTCTTTTACCTGTTTTTCTTCTACTTTTTTGTCTTCAATTCTTTTCTCTTCTACCTTTCGTTTTGCCTTTAATTTCTCCTCTTCTAGCTTAGCCTTTTCTTCAGCTGCTCTCTTCTTCTCCTCTGCCTTAGCCCTTTCCCTTTCTTCTGCTTTCTTCTTCTCCTCCTCTACCTTAGCCCTCTGCCTTTCTTCTGCTTTTTTCTTCTCCTCCTCTGCCTTAGCCCTCTCCCTTTCTTCTGCTTTTTTCTTCTCTTCCTCTGCCTTAGCCCTCTCCCTTTCTGCAGCTGCTCTCTTCTCCTCCTCTGCCTTAGCCCTCTCTCTTTCTTCAGCTGCTCTCTTCTCCTCCTCTGCCTTTGTCCTCTCCCTTTCTTCAGCTGCCCTTTGCTCCTCTGCCTGAATCTTCTCCCTCTCTTCTGCCTCAATCCTTTCTTTTTCCTGGGCTGCTCTCTTCTCTTCTGCTGAAATTCTCTCTCTTTCTTCTTCAGCCTTTTTTTGTTCCTCTGCCTTAACCCTCTCCCTCTCTTCTGCCTCAAGCTTTTCCCTTTCCTCTGTTCTCTTCTTTTCTTCCTCAGCCTTTTCCTCTTCTTCATCCCTAAGCTTCTCCTGATCTAGAGTTACAGTTAGATTTATGGCCTCCACCTCTGCCATTGGCTCCCCTACAAGTAGGACACTCGTATCATTCTCTGCTTTGTGTTCCTCTGCATTGACATGTAGGGTTTTTACTTCTAATACCACCATTCCCTCTTCTTTGTCTATTGTTTTCTTTTCTGTTGTTACTTCTACCTGATTTTCCTCTATGGTTCTCTGTTCTGGCTTTTCCTCCTGCGCCTCCTCATCTTTTTCTTCTTTCTTTTCTTCTCCATCTTCATCTTGTCTCCAGTTGTTCCTCTGGTACGATTTAGTGACAGTTTCAGTTTCATCAATCTCGTAACGGCCTCGGCGAGTTTCGATCTTTTCCTCTTTCCCCATGGTCTCATTTTCCGCCACATTGTTTATCTCTCCCCCACTTGGTAGTGACACACCCTCCTCTGTGACTGTTGGGTCAAACTCCTTTTGACGGTCCAGGGCTTCCTGAAGACGCTTTTGGCGTCTTTCCTCCCTTCTTGCCAATCTCTCCAAGAATGCAGCATTGTCATCCCCTTCTCCCTGAGTGTCTGTTACTGTTGTTGTAGTATGTTTGGTCTCCTCTTCTGCCACACTGTACAGGAATGACAACTTTGCATTAATTAAGCACCATAACAAAAACATTTCCTTATAGCTAGTTCCCAGAAATAGGACACATTGAAATTATTACATGGCTCTGGAACAGGATAGATTAGCTATTTTAAAGCAGTGTTTCTCAAAGTGGACTTAGGGCTGCTTTGGGAAGCTGCTAGTGGGCCCACACCACTTTGTTTACCTAAAAGATCCATAGTCATGGAGCCTTGTGGCTCCTATTGTCTCCAGTTTGCCATTTCCAGCCAAGGGGAGCTGCGAGAAGCAAGCCCACAGAACATTTTGAGAAACACTGTTTTAAAGTTTTAAGAAAACAATGCCAGGGAAAATTATGAAATTGTCACCTTTTACATATTTGGTGTTTTGTAATACTGATGGCTGAGAATGTTTCTCCTCCATGCTCCTGAGTCGGGACTCAATCCCACATCCATTGAAGTCAACAGGAGACTTTCTATTGACTTCAGTAGGCGTTGGATTGGTCCCTGGAGCTTTGGGACAGCTGAAATACAGATATACACACTCCATGGATTGAGAGCTCCACCAATTAGTCTATATGCAACCAAATGAGTAGAAGCTTACTTGTTCTGGGCATTAACTTCTGGTTTCTCGGTCATTTGTCCTGGTAGCTCATCATCTTCCTTTTGCCGAAGTCTCTCCTGTCGAGCCCGTCGACGGCGTTCTCTGGCAGCTTCTTCCTCGTCATCATCATTTCTTTGATAGGCTAGTCTGCAATGCATCATTTGAGAGGGGTTAATACAGAGAATATCATATATATTCATGTGTTTCACGAATGATTTGTGCAATACTAAATACTGTTTTCAATGGTGCTGTGGATGCGATTAAAAGGGATGCTGTCAAATACAGAACTTTACGCTGAAAATTTACTTTGCTTTTTCAATTAGTGCTTTCTTTGACATCGCTTCTCCGGACCAGACTACAGGAGTGCTCCACTACTGCGTAGACATGAGGCCTAACACCCAGTGTGTTCATCTCTCCTTGAATATTACTGCAATGGAATTTTACCCTGACAAAGGGAAGCAAAGCAGAAGCCTCCCATGTAGAATGCTAAAGTGAAGTCATTTGACCGCAAGGATCTGGAAGGATTTTTTCTGCTATGTCCATTGTTACTCATTTTCACAGCCTGTTGTGTGGGTAGAGGAAGGGATGACCTCTTCAGAAACATTATGTATTAGCCATTAAAGGAAGCAGAGTACCTTATCGGATTAAACCAGTGACCTAATCTGCTTTGGCATATGTTAGTTTTTTATTGGTCTACTTTGGACTCTCTAATTTGTCCACATCTTTCCTAAAGTGTGGTGCCAAGGATTGCACACAGTACTGCAGCTGAGACCTCACCATTTTCAAACAAAGTGAGAAATTACTTCCTGGGTCTCTCATCTGACACTCCAGCTACTACACACCTGGAGGATATTAGTCTTTTTCATAACTGCAGCACATGCTTGACTCATGCTCAGTTTGTGATCTACTGTACCACAGCTCCTTTTCAGCAATACTGCCACCTACCTAGTTGTTACCCATGTTATAGTTGGGCATTTGATTTTTTTTCCTATGCAAAATACTTTGCTTGTTTAGCTTAGAGAAGAGAAGACTGAGGGAAGTCTTCAAATACGTGAAAGGCTGTTATAAAGAAGACAACGATCAATTGTTCACCACCAGTGTTAGGAAAAGAAATAAACTGCCGAGTTGATGGCAAGGGAGATTTAGGTTAGCTATTATGAAATTCTTTCTAACTGTCAGGGTGATTAAGCTCTAGAATAGGCTCCCAAGGGAGGTCCTTGTCATTCGAGGGGATTTTAAGAACAGATTAGGCAAACACCTGTCAAGAATGGCCTAGGTATATTTGGTCCTTCCTCACTACAGGTACTTGAGAAGATGACCTCTTCAGGTACCTTCCAGCCCTACATTTCTAAGATTCTATGATTCAAGTCTCCTTCTCCACAAGAGCTTTTAACTTTTCCTTTTCAAGAACAGTCCTCATCACAGGAAGTAAAAGGTGTCAACAGAGTGGCCACAAATCATTGCATGGTTGGGAGGAGAGTTCAAAGGAGAAGAGAAGGAGCTCAGAAGACTGAGAGAAAAAAAGCCATTGTCATTTGCCATTAATGTATAGGGGTACCGATGAGTCATGTAGTTCTAAAATGAAAAGCAAGTGAAAGTAACAACAAACTAATGGGGTCTTTCTTAACTATGCTTCTGTAGGGGAAGTAAATTCTCCCGGAGATAGGAATAAACTGATTGCAGAAGAACCACTTAATGTTAAAAGACTCGGATATCTTTTTAATCCTGGCTGAAATCCAGCCGTAAAAGCCATCTATTGTGGCTCTGACAATATTTTGACCAGAGGAGCTCTGTGTTTGGCCTTCGGCATCTGAGCAAGGAGCACCAGACATGGTTAGTGGGATGTCTAAACCATGACCCTAAAAGATAATGAAGTTGTATACAATTCCTTCTATGCACAAACAGAAGGCTCACAGACCGCAAAGTGAAAAAAAATCCCATATGTCCAGAAAGTCAAAAAGCAAACCAAAATATCGTCGATCTCCAGCATGTGTCAGACGAGGGCAAAACTTGTTTCCTAGTTTTGGGCCCCTTGAATACAAATAAGAAATAAAAAAAAAACCTTGTAGTATCCCTCAAAGTGGTAGTAACATTTTTAAATACACCTACTATATATGTCATACCAAATACCTTGCATAAAACATATAGGTATATGCGCAAAAACAATAATACTAGCAAATGTCAGATATTGTACATAAGGGTTGACTTTTATGTTAGCATATGTGTGAATTCATTCCTTTTTCTCAATTATTTGTTTAGTAGATGCAACAGCAATAAGGGTATCTAAATTTTTATATCATATTTTATGCAAAAATGTCCCAAATTACTTTCTAGGCTGTCTCTCTGTGGACTGCTTCACTCATCTCAGAAATGCAACAATTTCTGGAATAAAACACTGCAGCCTTTATAAACCAGTCACACTATGTACCAGTTAAGATAGGAGGGAAAACTCCTCCAGTTGAAAATGTGGGAGGGAGTAGGTAGGCACAATATAATTAGCATCCTTACTGTTAAGCAAATTGCTCAAAAAGAGTTAGGCAACAGGAAAATCCATAGGAGTAAGCCACCTAAGTGCCATTTGTGCACTTGACAATCCATTCCTCTGACTACAAAGCTCCTTCTCCCACTCCTACTTCTCATGTCTTTTTCCACAATGTCCTGTATTCATGAAATGGCATCCATATTCAACCATAGGTACTAGAACTAGCGGTGTTACTGCACCCCTCGGCTTGAAGCAATTTCCATCATCTAAGGCAGCCGTGGCCAACACGCGGCTCATGAGCCACACGCAGCTCTTCCCCCACAAAAGTGCAGCGCGTGAAGCCGCTCCTGCAACTCCCCCCCCCCAACAGCCCTTGGCACCTCCACCCGCCCCCGGCTCCCTGTCGTCGATTCAAAATGGCGCCCAAGATGGTGGCCATCGACGGGAGCTTGCTTGTTCCTTAAAGGGGCAGCCTCCTTTTTTCCACTGCTGTTTCAGCTCTCTTTGTTAAATGGGTTGGCCACCCCTATCTAAAGGGTTTACAGTTGATGGCTCTCAACACCCCACTATACAAACTGTTGAAGTAACCCAGTATTCTGTTTGAAAGTGCCCCAGTCAAATCCCCCCTAAAATCTCTCTTCCTCCCTGAAGCCTGAAGAAGCAATTAAGTGTATGTCTACACTACAATGTAAGCGCAAGGGTGGTCAGCTGTCTCATGTGAGGGAACCCTGGGCTTGTGTGTCTATTTTGTATTTTAACTTTATGTTAAGACTTTTCTAACCTATGCTTGAACCTAGGGCTCTGACATCCAAACACAGTACACAAACCCGAGTGCTTAGTGCCCCCTCTCCCCAAAATGTGGCTGTTTTAGCCCTAAGATTGTGGTGCACTGTGGGAAAACTTTACTGCCCTCTCTGCTTGTTACCAGAAAGCAGCTCACTTTGCAAAAAGCTTGATATGTGTGCTCTCCATTGCAAATTCAGGAGGCTCTATGACAGCGTGCTTGCAGATCGGTGATCATAAGAGAAGAATTAACGCTGAACTGAGCAGCTGCAGTTGGTGGAGAGGAATGCGTGTGGCTCCTGTTTTAATAGAATAGAATGCGGATAGTTTGGATAAAGAGGACTAAAGATGTCTTCCCATGGAATTATGGGATACTTCTGTCCGACATTGAGTCAAATAATAGGACTTGGACCCTGGGTCCCAACTAAACTCAAAATTGAACTCTCCAGCTTTATAGGGTCATGGAACCCTGGATGTGAGCCCTAGGTTAGTGCAACTGTTGTGTAGATGCAAGGAAGGTTAGACCTGATCTCATCCTCAAGCTTGGTTATGACGCAGGGTAGAAATACCCTGAATTTACCATTAAAAGTACATAAACATTTCCAGAGGCACCATCAATACATGCACCCACTGTACATGAGTAACTATGTGCTCACTGATTTGCTGTGATTGCACTAACCCATGTCATTTTTCACTCTCTCTCTTGCCCACTGTTTGTTCCTCTCACTGGTTGCATCACATCTAAAATTAGACTGGAACCTCTTTATGGCAAAATCCACATCTTTGCATTTATACTGTCAATCACCTAGCACACTTTTGGTGCAAATAGTAAATAACAAAATAAAGATGCCCAGACCTCAATTCTACATATCTGGGAGAGGGCTATTTGAGAACCATAACAACCTTTGTTACTTCTCTATCATCCACCCGTGGAGAGCTGTTTTGACATGCTGAATCCACACAAAGCACACATTACCAACCTTACATCCATTTGTCACATTTTGCGTATTTCATTCCAGGTAAGTCTCTGTTTTCTGTGTGCTATTCTGCTATATTAAGCAGTAAGAAGACAACTGGCACTCAAAAGATATTCCACACTTCCTGACACCTGATACATCTCATTAAACATTCAAAGGAAAGGAAGATGGTTTGGAAACTGCCTCCTGCCTCCTTACCAAAGATGACGTGCTCTCTATCCAACTGACGATACGAAAAGAGCAGGGAGCTGGCTGCTGCTTTGGATATGCTCTCTATGCTTATGACATGAGAAGTAAATTCTAATCTGAGATCATTCCACTGTATCAAAGCCCTGAAGTTTTTAATGTAGATCTCTTGTTAATCATTAGTAATAAGTCCCTATTACAATTATAATACCTTGTTATGGTACATATGAAATACTGGAAACCAAAAATTCCATTTGCCCCACAGGACATTTCCTGCTCTGCAATGTGGACTCTATTGATTAACACCGAGTTCCTAAAAAAACAGACATTTGTTCCTGCACAACAGGGGGAATCATTGTTTTTAAACCTCCAGGAATGAAATCCTGGCCCTGTTGAGGTCAATGGCAAAACTCCCATTGACTTCAATAGAGCCATGATGTCCCAACAGGACTTTATGTGACACAGCTGGAGACTAGAGTGGTGTGTGACGCTTATGATTGTGGTTTATACAGGCTCACACTAACTTTCTCAGGTTTTGGTTCAAAAAAATTCTGCATCTTCTGCATTTTGCTGTGAGTTTTAGATCTGAGTAAAGCTGAATGGTAATCTCAGCCAAACTTAGGATGATTTTGTGCCATAACTATTCAAAAACCATCAAGCTTCATTTGGTTTATACTTGGAACCATAAATCAGCTCAAACCTCAAACTCATCCCAGGCT